TTTTTATTTTTAGGAATTTACAAGCTCAGGTTCAGCAAACTCAGAAACGAGCAAAGTTAGTGGTAGTTTGGAAACAAAATACAAATGGGTGGAATATGGATTGATGTTCACAGAAAAGTGGAACACCGACAACACACTAGGCACGGAGATTACTCTTGAAGATCAGGTAATTTTTGGCTCAAAAGATGCAATTTACAAATTAACTTATGACAATCCCTAATTATAAATCCAACCAGTGAATTTCTTTTCTGTTCAGCTTGCACGTGGCCTGAAGCTGACCTTTGACTCCTCCTTCTCTCCTAACACTGGGTAAGAAGTGAGTAAGCTTAAGTGACAAAAAAAGGCATTTTTTATTTTAGTTTTGCAGAATACTGTCTTGCTTCTTCACTTGTTCTGTCCTAAGATATCAAGACAGTGAATAATCAGCCTGTGCATGATGAAATCATGTACATCTGATTTAAATCTTAGTATTAACAATTCCTTTTTAATCCTAAGATATAGCAAGCAAACTTTTAAATACAGTAACTAGAAAGTTATAGTCAGAATTAGGGTGGGAAGAAAAGGTTTTGTTTGCACCCCTGTTGCTTTTTTCTGGCCATGTCAGAGGATGAGCTACTGTCTGAATAAAAGCGCTAAACAAGTCAGCTGTAATGCAAAGCTTAACAAGCTCCGGGAGCCAGTTGGCCAAGGCTTTAATAGGTCAACACAGTAATTGGGCTCTTCTCCGGAGTGGAATTTATCATCTGAATTCTTGCTGGCCACAGCACGCCTTGGTGGTGGAGTATTTCTGACGCGGCGATTGGATGCCACGTTTTATGTGGGCCAGAGGGATTAAGCAGCAGCTGTAGGTCTAGATGTTGGTTTATTTTTTTTTCCCTGATTATCTTTTTGCAAGCAGTGCTGCCAGTGAGTCAAAATATTCCGCACATTAACTTGCCAGAACAGCACGCTGCACTGCAGGCTACTGGGTTATAGTCTCAGTGGAGGTTTCACCCAGTCTTTTAGATTGTGTCCTGCATTGTAAACTGCTTCCAGTCCATTCCCAATTCTACATTAATTAAATATTTTTGTATTTGTTAACCAGAATAATCCCTAGTGTTTTTTGATGATTATTTCTTAGCTGGTAGGATTCTTAAAAAAATAAGAAAGAAAAAACCTGTACGAGAATGACAATTTACAGCTCTGTAGCTATTTCTTAGTCACTTCACAGACACTGTACTATCATCTGAATTATAACAATTGCCTTGTGGGAGGACTATTGTAATTGGAATAAATGGAGTGAGATTCAATCCTAGTGTGACCTGGTTTAGTTTGGCAGAGATGCATCATGTCTGAATATGAGACACCTTCTTCCCCTTCCTTACTACTTACTGGCTGTCATGAATCTTTCAACAGGGAAAGTCATTTTTAGGAGTGCCCCGTGTTAGCGTGGCTCTGTCCCTGTTGAAATTGGTGGGAGAGGTACTGCTGACTTTTACAGAAGTTGCAGATGAGCTAATGCTGAGTGCTTTTGGCACTCCTGCTCTTTATTTCTGATTTTGCAAAACACAAGAAATTCTTGAGTCCGAAACAATAATAATAAAAAAGAGAGCAATCTCTATGTGGGTCTGATACCTCATTGAAACAGTTCTTGGAGACTTTTTGCTAGCTGAAGTGAAAGGTTGATTTGAAATTTCAAAGTAGCCTGACTTTTCCAGAAAGATTTCAGTAAAAGATTTGGTCAAAGACAGAAGACACTTGTAAGGTAAAAAGAGAAGAAAAAAATCTTAAATAAGAGTAGCTGAATATATTAGACGTAACTCTCTTGCCTTGTGAGGGTCTGCACCCTTGATGTAAACTGACCTAAAGGCACATGAGGAAACACTGTTCTGGCCAATAGCATAAAAAGAGACAAGTGACTCAGGAAAGTTTATTTCTGCATTAACCTGGCAGTCTTTTTAATGGCTGTAACCATTAAACTTCATAAAGCATCCTAAGCAGAAAATAGGGTGTCAGAGCCACTGAAACAGCCTACATCCTTAGCAGCAGGGACTTTCATTCAGGAAGCTGGAGACAAAGTAGTGATTTCTTGACGTCTATCACAGTAAATGAAATTACTTGGTTCACTAGGATTGTCTAAAAATTGTTTGTTTGGGACAGGCCAACTACTATTGACTTTCTGTGGCCAACCTGTAAACTGCTACGGTTTGCATTCCTTGCCTGCATCTACCAAACTTCCAAAAACATCAGATTAGTTGGAGATGAGGATTTGTTTTTGTCACCTTCTGTCTGGCTTATTGGGCTGCTGCTTTTCAGAACACAGCCCAGAAGTGCTTAGTGGGGCACCACACTGCATTTTATTGCTTGATTGCAATTAATTCACTGTAGCTGAATTAGGGTTTTGCAAATGTGAAAGGTAAGAAGGTGACATACCATGTGGCTCTCCAGGTATGTATACTTTGTCTTCAAGAACTATTACACTGAGTTTAAGTAACTGATTTGATCGAATTGCTACCTACGAGTGTGCCTTTTCAAAGATACGAGATTCTTTCTTTTCTCCTTAGGAAAAAGAGTGCTAAAGTTAAGACAGGGTACAAAAGGGAACACATCAACATTGGCTGCGACATGGATTTTGATATTGCTGGTCCTTCAATACGTGGAGCCCTGGTGGTTGGCTACGAGGGGTGGCTGGCAGGTTACCAAATGACTTTTGAGACAACAAAGTCTAGAGTAACCCAGAGCAACTTTGCTGTTGGCTATAAGACCGACGAATTCCAGCTTCATACTAATGTGTAAGTATTGGCAGACGGGCATTAAAAAGGAGTTTGAAAGGATTTTGCTGCTTACTAGAACAATGAAAGGGATGGAGTTTCAGCAATGGCAAAAAAGGGAATTGTGGATTTGAAATTACTTCTTCATTTAAGATGGCAAGCTGCATTTTTTTAGCTGCATTAACTTTTCTTTGAATTATGTGGGTGAGGGAGTGCATGAAGGAAGGAACTGGAGCTCACTGACCACCCAAGCATCCAGTGTCTATCTTTCTAACAGATAAGGATCATTAGAATCTATTAGTGGAATAATAAAACAAGTGGGTTATAAAAATATTCTTTGTGAAAGTTGAAATAAAAGCAATGCCTTCCTTTTGCACGTGTCAAAATCAAACAAAATGGTGGTTTCATCTGTAGATGAAAGAGTTAATCAGAGGATGAACAAGAACAGGCAAAAGGGAATGAATGGAAGAGATATGGACTGGGTTTGTTTTAGTACTGGAAAGGATAGAGTGTAAAAGTTTGTTTTAGTATTATAACTCCTAATAATCTATTTACACAAGCATTTGTCCTTTCTGAATGCATGAACAGTGGGAAACCAGGACCAAATTCCATGAAAACCTTAATTCCTCTGTTCCTCTTAAAAGAGCAATTTATGCCTTTGGGGAAGACAGTTTTTTGAGATTAGGCAATCCCTAATCCATTCCCCCAGACCCCCTTTCCCATTCCCTTGGGTAATTGGATATTTTGCATGTAGGAGAGCTATTGCAGGCTGTTCCCATTTGGGGGCTGAACAACTGTTCTGCCTTCCTGGAGCTGCTGCTTCAAAGGCTTTCTGTTCTGTTTCATGCTGTTTTGCAGAGATCTGGTTTAGGAAGCTCGCACTCCCTTATAGAACAATTGAACCTTCACAGCCCAGACAGTATGTTTGAAGGATTGCCAAAGCACAAAAATGTGGGCAGGAAACTTTCATCAAAACAATATGCGGGGTCCCCTTCCAGTCAGGAGTTAGGAGTTATTCCTTCAACTACACCAATGACTTTCAACTTTGGTGTACTGTAGCAGTTCAAAACACTGTATTATTGGCTTTTGCTATAAAGTGCTGTAATTATTATTACTCTTAATTAAAGCAACAGCAGAAAATAACTTTATAACAGCAGCAGGGCCACAGATCTTTCTGTACTGTTTCTTGGATTCCTGAGGGTCTGTTTCTTAGGTTGCGGTTACTGTACGTAGAAGATAAATCATCTTCAGGAGGATGCCTAGTTTGTTTATTTAATATTCATACTCTACCAACTGACAGGCAAAACCATAAATGTGTGATACGAATAGAAATCTTATTTATTGATATTAATAGATTAGTTAGGTATTTGACATGTTTCAGCTTTGAAATATGTCAGAGTTTTTATATAATCCCAGAAAGAGTTGTGTGTGGAACCCCCATCACTAGCCTGCTCGAGTGTTATATCTAGACAGTTCAGTGTTTCACAGGGATGCTGTGGCAGAGCTGATAATTTAACTAGGTGGGGCTTAAAGCATCATCTTTTGTTCCTGGCATTACGCAGACCAGCTGGGGACTTTAGCAAGTTACTTTCCTTATTGGTGCCTTAATATGTTCATTTTCGTAGGGGGATAATGTTTTTTTATCTACGTCTGAAAAGTGCTATTATTACTATTAGAATTAAAAGGAGGTTTGACTTTTTTATTATTATTATTTTTTTAATAATAAATAGTAACTAATGGGAGGTAGGGCTGGATAATTTCTAGTTTTAAATATGACTTTCCTCGTTTTTTAAGCATAGCTCAGACCGCCCCCCCCTAATGTTGCAGGTCAAGACAAAGCTGTGTGGGAACCTTGCACAAAATCTGCCTGTATAACCATCTCTCCTCAGTCCTTTTTAATCCCTCCTTTTCTTGAGAGCCAAGCACATGCAGTTTTATGTGAGCTTCAGTCTTATCTGAAGTAAGTACTGTAGTGTTTTTCGGGAAGAATTGCTCTAACAATTTAAAACGCTGCTGCTATTTCTTGAACTTTTAAATAGGCATATCACTACTGTTTGTGCGACTGTTATGAACTAAGGAACATCAGGCCAAAGGGGTAAAAGTGGAGAGATTCTAAATCTGCCCCTATTTTGAAGGTTTGGAATACTCTAATAATTGGAACCAGATTATTTCAAAGTTTAGAAATGATCATAAGTATTTTATTTGCAGAGGTCTTCCTGTGGTTTAAAGCCTGTTTTGTGCAATATGTTTGTATCCTCTTCTAAGAAAATGAGCGAAAATGGAAATTCAGATGCTCACTGGTTTACAAGGAGCGCAAGGCTCTTAGAAGTCTTTTGCTCTTGTTTTTATCATCTGCACGCTCTAACGTTTTGCATTTTATTTACCACATTTTATTCTGTGTGTGACATTGGTGTCAGTAGTAATTTGAAGTTGTGCTACTCGGTAGCAGTGGTAGAAGGCTGTCATCATTCAGCTGTTGGCCAGTGCTCTCTGCAAAGTAAAATTAGTTTCATTTCAGTTTCTAGGAGAGAGATATCTATAGTACAGATGTACCATAAGGACTATTGCAAATGGTATTCATTTGCAAAAGCCGATAGACTTGGACATTAAATGGGCATCTTCACTTCTGATACAGTTCATCTGTGTCTGGTAAAAGCGTGCTGACGAGGCAGTGTTAGGATGACTGCTCAGGCTCGGTGATTGGGGTGCAGCCCTTTCAGGGCACTAGGGAGACGTATGCCTGGGAAAATAATTATTTCAGAGATATGCAGAGAAGAATAAATCTCTTTACTACAAAGACTCCCATCTAGAGAGAAGGGAAAATTGGAAGCTGTCATCATTAGTCTATTTTTGATAGTTTGTCATGGCTTTTTTTCAGTTTCATAAGTTGTTTGTTGAAATACAGTAACCACCAATGAATTTAAGCATTTAAAAATGACTTCATAACCAATCTGGCCTAATGTCTCTATCTTAGTTGTTGCAGGGATATTAAATGAGGTGTAAGTGAATGTTCTGCAAATATAGATCTTACTGGGGAAATAAAGATGATTGTTTTGGAGTGCAGTTTAAAACTAGACTAATGCATTCCTTCCAGGAATGATGGAACGGAATTTGGAGGCTCCATTTACCAGAAGGTGAATGATAAGCTGGAAACTGCCGTGAATCTTGCTTGGACAGCCGGAAATAGCAATACTCGCTTTGGAATAGCAGCCAAGTATCAGATTGACCCAGATGCCTCTTTTTCTGTGAGTGCTATGCATGTACATTTATAAGCATTTGAAAATAGGGTCTTGTAACAGAAATGTGAAGCAACCTTTACATCAGTAAAGTACGGTTTTGATGCAGTTCTGTGGTGTATCGTTGGCACACGTATCTCTTTGTCTTGTTTTTGGCAGCACGAGAGCACAACTATTGGATTTTCCTTAAAAGGGACACAGAATGTTTTATAGTATCATTGGGCACTGTTTTGAGATTTTAATTTTGAAGCAAAATTAACTCTAGATTTTTGTTTTTTTGTGTTTTAAAAGATGACATCCTTTACCTGCTTAAAAGGTGTTATTTAATTTTCAAGTAGGAAGGACTTTGAAGAAAGATACCACATTATTTACATACGGTATTTTTTTTTCCCTTTAAGGCTAAAGTGAACAACTCCAGTCTGATTGGATTAGGATACACTCAGACTTTAAAGCCAGGTAAGTCTATGCAGAAGAAATTCAGACATCAGTAAGTGACATTTTAGTCTGGAAGTATCAAAGAGGTTTTTTTGTGACAAAATGTGAATCGTTTTGTAACATTGCTGTTCCGCTTGGCAACCCAATGATGAACTTTCCAGGGACTGCTCAGTTAATTTTGGATGACTGTTGCAAGCAGGATTATTAGAGACCACCATCCACCTGAACTCTTTTATGTTGATACAAAGTATATCTACAATTAGGTGTTTCACAGATAAGTAAATGCATTTTTAGGACTTTCAGAGGCTTCCTATTACTGAGTTTATTTTGCTTGAAAATGTGACTTTCTCAAGGTCCCCTGGTCCAGGAAGAGGACAATTGTACTGCTGTAAAATGGGGTTTAATGTAGTCTAATAAATCTACTGCCAGAATACCAAGCAGATTGACATGAGATATCACAGTAGACAGGGCTTGGGCCTTTTTGTACCTAGATTTTAAAGTGGTTTAGAAAGGTGGATATGTTTCAAGGTCCCAATTTTTCATAATACTCGACTCTAAAATTAGATTAATCAGTAGACCAGCAGCAGTGAACTGACTCGGAGATTTAATTACTTGGAGTGATAAAAAGCAGAATCTATCACTGTGGTTTATTGTAACTTTCATAATTCAGGAAGATTTCATATCTGCAAATTGTTTTAAAATGCCCAGTCCCTACAAGGCTAGCTGCCAAATTACATTAACCTAGCTACCCAATAAATTAAAGCAGCAACACAGACACTGCACTTACTGAACACGAAGCTCATTCCAAGTTTTAACAGTTGTCTTTTCTTTCACTTTTCTCTATTTTGCAGGTATCAAACTGACATTGTCAGCTTTGTTGGATGGCAAGAATGTCAACGCAGGTGGTCACAAACTTGGTCTAGGATTGGAATTTGAAGCATAAGGAGTGATTCTACAACCGCTAATTTGAAAATACAGCATAGCTACCTTCAGAATATAGTGTACCTTTCAATGTTTTATGTCTGGGATGCAAGTATTGCTAAGTATCAGTCCTGCTAGTCCTGGTTAAAGACAGCTAAGCTTTAAAAATTATGTTGTTAAAGAAATGGAGACAAAAGCATAAAAAAAAATTCTGATTCCAACCTTTTTTTCCTTAATGTTATTGCCCATCACATCTGTCAGCTGCCATGATAGGAAGTAGGAAGGTATTGATTACCTTTACTAAGGTATTGACTGCACAAGGAATATGTTAATGTGGTATAAAAACTGAGACGTTAAGAATCGCAGACCACTATATCATACTGTTAATTCCATAAGCAAAATGTTCTGACATTTAAGGTTTCCGTTCACAATGGAATGTGCAAACTTGTCTGAAAAAGGGATTTTTTTTTTTTTTTTTTTTAATTTTTAGATAGGCATTTCATGAATGGTTTGTCTTTTTTGGTTATCTTACACCTACAGCTGTCTCCAGAATGCTTTAGGTTGTCCACCTTGTGTAAGTCCGTTGCGGAGGAGGTTTGATGTGACTCAGCCAATACTACCTGTCCTGTGTTGTGGTTCCTTTCCCGTGCACTGACTGGAAAGCTTGTAAGACAGGGCCATAATCAGGGAAGAGTCTTTGTAACTGCAATCACATAATTGCATTACTAAATTTAAAATGGACTTTTGTTTTATTACCACTTTTTTTTAGCAACTAAATGGGTACATTTTTAGAGAGTCTTCCATTTTGTGTGGAACTAGACCCCAAAATGCTGTACTTGACACTACTAAAAATGGATAAAAAACCCAAACCCAACTTGAATAAAATATTGAAATGTCACCTTTTACTTTGTCTTTATATTAATTGTGAAAACAATTTAATACTAATTCTTGGCTCCAGAAGCAGACTGGCAACATCTTATTGCATATTTTGTACCACACAAACAAAATATCCTTAGTAGATTTAAGTTCCAGACATAGCCATGTTTTTAGTGCTCGTTAAGCTCTGGCAACTGCACATATGCATGCGTTTAGCTCGTGGAGAAAACAAGATAAGGTGACTTGTTTATCTTTCTTTCATTGCAGAATTCACTAAGTTAAATTACCTTTCTAGAAACAAATAAGTGCGAGCAATGAACAGTTATCAGTTGGGATAAACTTCAGTGGCTTTTCATTAAAACTTTGTATTTTTTCATATGTAAGGAATCGTTGTGGGTGGTGTGCAGATGGCAAGAGGCTGTGGTACAGGAGGATGTGCCTGATGAGGCAATGGCGTTACAACATTGTGAGACTGTAGATCTGCCTCAGCAACAGCCTGCAAATTGTGCAATGTCTTCCCTCTTACCACAGGCTATTCTTGAGTATTTCCTAGTATGTCTTATCTCAAATATTTAACTTAACACTCGTGGGGGAAGTAGTCCTCTTCGAGATTTCACCAGTCCAAACAAATCACATGCAACCAGCTCACAGTGACTTGGCAGATGCTCAGAATTAATTTATGTTGCTGTATGCTGTGCATGGCTTGTGTTCCGTGTCCCCATAAGCGTTTGGGCTCCTTGTTCTTTGTTTTTGCATGCTTCAGGCATCTGTGGTTTGGAATTTGTTCTCCCATGATCAACTTCAAGGCTTCTCTCGGGGCTTGTATCACCTCACTTGGGCTGAGAACAGGAAAGCATTTTTCCATAAATTTATCAAATTCTGCAAAAAGCGTTCGTGAGCGGTACAGCGCAAAGCCCAGTCACACATGCGGACACTGATGAACACCATCCCAGGGCTGTGGCTTTATGCGGTGGGCCCAACCCCTAACGTCAACCTCTGCCTGAGGGAAGGAGAAGG